CCCCCCCCCCCCCCCCCCCCCCTCCAAAAAAATCCTTCGATCATCCCTGTCACTTAAAATCTGGAGTACCCACCTGGGCAGTAGCCTGGGGTAGATGCTATACACTGGCTTTTTTTCCCTGTATCCACGGCTGTCATTAGTAACCGGCCTCTGGAGTTAAATCAGCCGGCTACCCTAAGTTTGAAAACGATTCAAACATAAACAAATATGGAAGATTCGTTCAATGAAATATGACTGGCTATTTTCCCTTAGAGACCAGCCACTTACAACTCTGTTAAATTGCACCTCTCTTTTCACACAGCATTTAAACTTTAACTCTAGGTTTAGGCCATGATAAAATCTTTAAAGAAGAACTGATAAAAAACTGGGCTAATTTTCCTTTCTAGTTTAAAACCATAAACAAATTTGAAGTAAACCAATGTTTATAATAAATTTGGCTCACCTTCTTTCCAGAAGTATTTTTAACATAGCTGGTTCAAATTTTTCAAATCTTATATAACCTGTTGGTTCTTCCTCCTCTACCTAAAATTGAAAGAAAAGTTCAGTCCTCACACAATTTAACCCTATTAAACCCTATTATGGCTCAGTCAATTCCAAACGTGCCCATGCCAAACCCTCCCCCCCCCTCCCCAGCAATTATCAGGCATTTGTCATCTTGTCGGTCCCGGTGGTAGGGAATTTGTCAGAAAACCTCTGCCTGGGGGTTTTGTCAATTCTTCTATAAGCGGTTAAAGTCGTTCCTTTTTCAATATTTCACTTAAAAACATGCCTATTTAGACAGCTTTAGATATTTCTATAGAGAAAATTTTTAATAGTTATGCTTTAAAGAGATATGTGTGGTTTTCACTCCATCACTTCCTTATCCCACAGTATTTTTTGCATCCGTCTAAGAAATTGCTTCCCGCCATTGTGATCAGTTCGTACATGGAGGAAAAACAAGATCAAGATGTATCTTCCGAAGAGTTTAAAGGAAAAGGCACTTTCTTTGTGTGTGAATGGTTGAGGAAGGAAGACCAAGAAAAACCTTGCGAGATATTTGAAAGCTAATATTATATAAACATCCTGTTCTGTATGATCAATGCGACAATTAATATGCTGACAAAACGGTTCCATCATGATGAGAAAATGCTCATGTTAAGCTCATCAGTTATTTGTTTATCATTCACTGTATCAAACAAAAAGATAAGGTATCAAGAAAAACTCTAGTTTACAGTTCTGTTATTGATATTAATCAGATGGATGTGATTTTTTCGGCAATAAATATATCTAGCGGCTAGCTAAAAAGGGACGATTTGCGTAGCGCACTTTATGCATTTTGCTTTGATTATCAGAGATTTTCCCATGAATATGGTATTTCCAGCTTATTTTTAATACTGGAAAATACAATTTTGTTGTTGTCCCTGGGTGGGGCATTTGCACCCTATTTTTATGCCCCACTGTGCCGTGGGGTTTTTGTATGAACGCCCGGCCCCACCGTGGGGCATTTGCAGCTTTTCCAAAACAAATGACAAATGGCCGACAAATGCCCGGGTGGGGAGGGGCGGGTATGAGCACGCTTGGAATTGACTGAGCTACATATAACCAAATAAAAAATAAACCGTTTCTTCAGTTCAAAACAAGCCATATTAATTACCTCTGCCAGAATATCGTGAAGCTCTCCTTCTGTAGGGCAACACTTCAAGGATCTTACAATGGTTCCAACTTCCCTAAACCACAACCACAAATTACGGTATTTTATGAACAACTAAAGAGAAGTTTCCTAGCACAGCTGTTGGAAGATGAAACCTCAGCAGAAACTTTTACCGTACCTAACATCAACAGTCTTGTTAGATTCGTGGTCAAATATGTCAAAAGCATCTGCAATCGTCTTTTGCATTTCAGCAGCAGAAGAATCAGATGATTCAGCCGCCGGTTTCTCGGGTTCACTGCTTGGATTTGGTGAACTTGTGTCCGCCATTTTTTTTTCTTCCTTGGTTGCCAACTGGTTGCCAAGATACCGTAGATTGAGCCCGCGCTTAGTTTAGTGGGAGGTGGTTATCGCAAAATGAATGCGCGATCCATAGAAATCGGTTAGCGCTTTTGCGCAGGACAGTCAATGTAAATACTGCAGAAAAATTAGCGCTTACAAAATGGTTAGTGGTAAATGATTTCACCGTCTGTGAATGTTTTCTGTAATCCTTTACTTCATGATATTTATTTTCTTGTTTAAGGGAGACCTCTTGAAGGAATTGCCTTCGTTTAACAGGAGTAACTTTTCAAAATACTGTGCCGATGCAGGTACCAAAGTTTCGGTAGGTTGAAAATTAACCCATTTCATCTTTGGATTTGATAAAATTATCCGTCTTAATTTGGCTCTTTATCTCTCTTTATCTCTACTAAGTGTCGCATCTGAACATTGATTTGATAGGTGCATAGAAAATTTTCAGAAATCATCACTTTTGCCAACAAAGACACGTTTTAAAACTTATATTCCTGGCGTATAAGAACGTAATTACTTAAGCTTAACTTCTTTTCCCTGTCCAAGTGCCTTTTATAACTTGTTATTTTGTTTAACATCCGTATTATTGGCAGAAACTTAACGTGGAGTATGTAGATCGATTTTTTTCCTCCGGAATGTTCTTGTGAATTTTTCTTCTCGAGATCGTAGGAAGGTTGTCTGTCCAGCTATCACGTTTGCACAAGAAATGTGCTTTATGCATAAATTTAACTTATTATTCATTTAAAATATTCCCCCGATTCTGATTGGCTAAAAGCACACGTATAATTCATCATAACCAGCTACTGATGACCAAATTTGGAAGAATTTAGCGTTTAATGAACTGATGACGTCAAAAATGCAGCGTTCTTGTTTATGCACCGTTAACCGAGAAGACCTGGGTACAAGGTTGAGTTGTTTTGGTTGTAAAAACAAAAAATGGCAGACATTTCACTCGTTTCAAGAGTAAGACCTAGGCAAAATAATAGCTAAAAACATGGCAAGAACCGTAAGAAGACAACTCGAAGGGTGACATTGGCTATTGACTATTTTCCAATTGCCCATAATACACTCTGTTTGCCCCCCAAATTTTGCATAACTTATTGTCTTAAAATGCTCTTGGGAAAATGCAATACTCCCAGGAGCATTTAAAAATAATGGTTTATGCAGAATTTGGGGGGCAAACAGAGTGTATTATGGGCAATTGGAAAATAGAGAATTTGGAGAATATTTGCGGAGCTGAACAACCCTAAACTTGCACTATCAAAGATGAACTTAACATCGATGGAGGTAAGCATGTTTTAGCTATGTTTTTAAACTAGGAGTTATTTTGAATGAGTGATAAAACAATTATTGAATTCGTCTTTCGTATCATATGAAAAATTATTGAGATCTTGGAGGGTGTTATCCGCCTTGGGCTACGGCCTTGATGGATAACACCCTCCTCAATTTCCATAATTCTTCATAAGATACTCAGCCTCATTCATTAATTGTTAATTAATTTGCTTTTTTTTGTGTGTTGGCAGAATCGCAGACCAGTCGTCTATCTGCCAACAAAAGATGACGGAACATCTGAACAAGGTAATTATTCAGTATAAATAATAAGATTTTTTTATGTTACAAAAAGCTCAAATTTATACTGTAAGTAATCCAGACAAACAGGCTTAGTTTAAGCAAAAGAAAACTTTGTGTTTGCATATCCTGGTATAAACACAAGAGGGTGTTGGAAGAATTCGCTATGCAAACACAAGAGGAAGTCCACGGCTTGCAGAACTTTCAAGAGTAACCCCTTAATTGTTTACATCAGTCTATGCAAAAACAGCAAAAAATTTTCTATTGCTTTTACAAAGTAACTTTCCCAGGAAAAAGAAGCAAAACTCTTTGTTACAAATAACATGATGATAGCCTGCGTGGCAGACATTGAAAGGGGTTAAGGATCAGGAGGAAGGAAAAAGGGAGGCCCGCTATAACAACCCCCTTTTAGTTTATTTCTGCGGCTGCTGGCCACTGAAAATTTCTGATTGGCTGAGCTATAAATATGAGTATCTTAATTGTCATGAAGTAAATGAGAATCAACCTTGATACAGGTATCAAAGGAAACATGATCTACTGACCTAAGCACAGGTATATAACCCCAAAATGTCTTAATTCTCCTTATCTGCTTAGAACCATGCCGGGGGTTTTTATACAGCCAATCAGAACCTTGGAATTTTTTGCTCAAATATGGAATCAAAGAATTAGATGCATCTCTGTCTCTGTTCTTCAGTTGCCATGCTTCTCAATCCTCTCAATAGGACAATTACACGATGATGATATTTGACTGCAACTACCAGAATTCATTTTGGTTTTGCTTTGTTATTTAAATTTGTCAATCCCGCTGAGGATTAAAGAACAACGGCCTTAATTTGCACAAGAAAACAACAAACTTGTGGATTCTGTTGGTTGTAGTAAAAGGACGTCATCGTGCAATTGTCCTATTATTATATCCATAACTCAATAGTACACTCTGATGTTTAATTGACAAAGAAATGTTCCATAACATAGTTGCCGTTTTTGTTCAGAGGAAGTCAATCTTGGCCATTTTGAGGGGGATGGTGTTTTGATTTTGGTGGAATTTGGCCTCACGAATCTGTAACTCCCTTTTCCAGCACATTGTTTACGTTGTGATACATGGAAAAGTGAAAAGTGCTTGGTCACGTAGTGACAGTTGACTTGACATTTGGGAACCTGGTGGGCAGCATGCAAAAACACAAGTTCTTGTGGCGGGAACTCCCTCTCCCTTTTGCCTTTTGCACTTTTCTCCCCCTCCCCTTAATTATGCCTGCCAATCAAGCTACCATATTCCCTTGAATAATAGCTGTCCCTCGATTAATTGCCTCCTCAAATAATCACCACCCTCAGACGGAAATATTTAAAATAATTGCCTCCCTCAAATAATCAGCCCCCCCTCCCAACCCATCTCGCCTGTTGACTTGAAGTAGAGTCTGATCCAACAGAATTGATCAGTGATGATTTAAGCTCTAACGCCGAGGATATTGCCATTGACAATTAATCATGGAACCAAATTTGGAACTCTTAAAAAGCCCATGTTCAGTATATTTGATGTGTCATTTTTGATGTGATGATAAAACAAACATTTAGGGTACAACTTCCAGTGACCAATATTTGAAATAATTGCCTCCCTCGAAAAATAGCCTTCCCTCAAATAATTGCCCCCTTTATGAGTGAAAAAAATATTAATCACTTCCAGCTATTATTCGAGGAAATATGATTTATTTTAAAAATAAATTCTAGTCTAAAAAGGTCTCAGACTTTTTTAGTATTGTAGCTTTAGACTGTACTGCATAGTCTTCATCAGGTTCTGACTCAGATTCAGACTTTTTCAAATTTAAATTTCATTTTACTTGGTAATGAATGAGCATTGTTCATGAAAAGATATATTGATCTAGTTGTTTACCTTCTCTATTGTAGCTATTGTTACTGACAAAGGAAATATTTTGTTAAGATACCTTCATCAGCAGTGGGAGGTAAAGGTAAGCAAATGTCTCAGGGCAGAACTTACCATTCCTATAGCAGGTTAATAGTGTTCAAGGAGGGGCAGGGGAGCTTGAAACAAAGTTGCTTCTCCCCAAGGTCCAAACCCTTACCCTTAATACTTCAACAAAATTTAACTCTTTTATATCCCCTCAAAAGGTATCAGAGAAGATAAATGTTGATTAACATCCAAGTCATTTTATTTAACTCATTATTCTTGTGAATTATCTCTATAGTCACATACTTCATTGGTTCAGCCATCAAGAAACTTTAAAGACCCCTTAGTTATATCTAACTCTTTTCTATTTCTCCAAGTACTCCTACATTGTAGCTCGTGACATGTAACTAAACACAATGAAGTAACTCAGCCAACACAGTCATCTATTGTGTGTTGAAAATGTGACCAGTCCAACACAATAACCCAAAATGGTTAATATTTAAGCTCTGAGGAGGACAGCATAAAACAAAAAGACCTCTATAACTATAAGAATAAGTTATACTACAACCTAGAATGTTAATGTTATTATTGTTACACTACAACACCCCAAATGATTAATTTTATAAGAAATGTTTCATTGATCAGTTCAGAGCAGTTGGTTTAGTTTTATTCCATGTAATGTACTGATACTTTAATTTCCATTTATTGCCAGAACACACAGTCAGGTAAAAAGCGTGACGTTGGAAGTGTGGATCTCCCAGAGTCCGCAGAGCCATCAAGAAAAGCAAAACGCCTTGATCATGAAGATTATAGCCCACCAGATTAAAGAGCTTCCAGTCTTGACAGAATTATTATGTATATTTTTTCTTTTTGTTAGAAAATGACATTTTCCAGAGGGTGTTGTTTTAGTGATCACCATAATTTATAATTCCATTCTTGCTTTTAATGTGGACATCACATCTCTTGATTAAGATGTAATCTAAGAGTATGCATGCCTAATATTTATTTCAGTGCAGTCTTTAAGTAAAAGAAACCTTTTTTAAAGTAGATGCAGACAAATGACTGACTAGCAATAAAGGTCTAGGCTGCTAGACAGTCAGTACTTTGTGCCTGTTTAGTGAAATGTGGCAAAAGTTGAGAAGCCAAAATCAGCTAGGGCAATTTTTAGCTTCACATAGGCCATTCATTCCTCTCCTAGCACATGTGGAGGGACATTGAATATTTCACAGTCTTAATTAAGGCTGATTTTCACTAGCGATGGAGTCGGAGTCATAATCAGAAGCGTAGAACTTTACAATCTAGTGATAACAGTGTTCTGATTCCGCTTACTACTCCGTCATTTACAATCAAGTGAAAACTGGGTCGTCAGAGTTGCAAGCAGAAGCAGAAGAAATAAACCAATCACAAAGCGTGGGAAGGTGCATTGTGATTGGTGTATCCTTCCACTTCTGCTTCCTACTCTGGCAATCTGGTTTTCACTAGTTAAGATCATGAACGGAACATAAGTGACGGAGTTGTAAGAAAATGGAAATGTTCTGATTCTTCTGACTGAGTTCATCGTGCTTATGACTCCAGGCATGATTGTGATTTTGATTGTGATTGTTGATGACTAGTGTCATTTGCATCACAAATACCATAGTTGTACCTAACACTTATTTTTGGCAAACAATGGCCATGGCAATGGCAAGGTGTATTAAATCCCTTTGATAAATGAAATTATCTGGGCCAAGATGATCAAAAGACAATTTATGCTTATTCTAGGTTCCCGGTGGTTACCATGACAACTTGCTCATACTCTGTCTGCAGTTAACCCAAGATTACATCTAACTAAACTTCAACCTTCGACTTGGCCTTTTAGTGATCATAGTATCAGTGATACAGCATAATAATACTATGTAAGGCCGTTGTGACAGATTCCAGTGGAATCTCTGATCAGTTACTCAATAAACATAAATAAAGAGTTAATTTCAGATGGAACACATACTGGAGGAGATGGCTTTGAAGGTAGTTGTGGCCTCTCTGCCAGGAAAGGGCACGGTTATTGTGTGTTGGTTAAGATTCTGATAAGATAGCCTTCACACCGCCACAAGTTTACTCTGTGAATGTGGGGGCCAATCATGATTTTGATTGATGTATAGAGTGTGAGATAGTGGCATCTATCAAACAACTGATCTGGAGGCTTTATTTTATTTTAGTGATCAGATTTTTCCTTTGTGACCGGTTGGTTCTCAGTGGTTCTTGGGGTCTTATTCGTCAAAAGGTCAATTTCTGCAATGTTTTAAGCCAGTGACAAGGTTGTTTTGAAAACTAGAATGAGAGTTGTGAATTTGCCCAATTAATGCATCAGTCAATTCCACCTGGGCCCAGCCCCCCCCCCCCGGCTGACCCCCGGGAATTAGCATTTTTTTTGCCTTGGATGGCAAATTTCCTGGGGTGGGGACTCTTGAGCTGGCAAATCCCCCGGGGTGGGGAAGAAAACAGAGGGCAAACGCCCCGTCCTCCGTCAGCAGTGCAACATTTTTTATTGATCGCACAGTCCAATAGTGCCATTTTAAAGTGCGATTTTTTGTTTCAATTAACGTCTTCCTTTGTAATAGCGCTAGGATTCTAATTAAGACTTCACGCCGCGACGACATGCACCAGTTTATGGTTTTAGTACTGATATAAAATTATTGACATTAAAATTAATAGAGGCTGTAAAGTTATATGTTATGAATAGTTTTATAAATATGAAAGGGTGTTCTTCAAATAATATCACAAGAAATTTGATTCAATAACCAAAAAACGTTGATTCACATCGATAGCTCCAATTTCGCTATGTAATTCTGGCCTGATAAGCAATGAAGAAATGCATACATAATGTAAAATCGAGGACATGCCTTTACAACCCTCTACAATTTATTCCTGTCCTTGACAGATGAGCCAATCTGCGTTTTTTCCAGTCNCCCCCGGGGGGGGGGGGGGGGGGGGGGGGGTGCATAAGTCTACTGTATTTTTCGGTTCGCGTCTATTTTATTGTTGTGGTTTCACCGTTATCGTAGCCTTTTTTTGCGTTTCCTTTTTGTTAAGAATCCTTCTCTTAAATATCCTTTCCCTTTGGGCAGGGGCACCAACGACTGTTTGCTGTAAATATCTGTTCGGAGAAGCAAAAATTGCCTAAGATTTTCTATAGCTTGAGGAAAGCTAAAAATTTCTAGATGACCGTTCCATTCATGTTCAATATTTGTAACATCTCCAATAAATTCCCTACGATTTTCTAAAGTTTAATTTTTTGCATTTCAGTACCCAAGTTAGCCTATTTCTCGTAGAAAAAGGAAACTTAACATTTTCGCATTCAAAATGCGATTAAGAGAGGAATCAGAAATATTCTTATTTTCGTAAAACTTAAAATTGCATCGCAAATTTTCGGGAAAATAATACGCAAGCCCTTGTAATTTCGAAAGGACTCAAGTTGCCCTAGGACGACCGAACAGATACAAATTTTATAGCGCCGCTTAGAATGCGTCTGTACTCTGGATAGCCTAAAAACTGTTTTCAATGCATTTAAGAGGAAACCATCGTTGGGTGCCCCTGTTTGGAGGTTCACATTGAATTCTTATGGAAGAATTTAAACGGTTAAGTTTGTAATACTTTGTTTGTATACTCAAGGTTATCAAATAGGTGATCAGTAGAGACCTTTAAAAGACGCAAGGAACAAAGCTTTTTTCGTGCTGCGCTGCAAACATACGGGCGAGATTGAATAAGATTTGACCAAACCAAGAAAAAAACTTATAAAGCACTTGTTGTAGCTTGAAAGAAATACCCAAGACTTTTTGCCATTTTTTTCGAGCCTTAATCTCTATTTTCCAGGATTCAAGACTCTGTACGAACCCTGCATATGTGCCTACGAGGGAGGCTATCATTAATACGAATTCCATATAATGAAAATGCCGGTACTAATACTTGAAATTTTTCAAAAGATAACAAGTAATAGAAATCACACGCCTTAACGCCCCAAGCCCCGATATCGATATACAAATTCTCCACACCTATCTCTATACATTTCCTTAGAAGCTCTTAGAGAAGTAGTTGAAATAATTTGACAAACGATTAAAGCTTCTTCCCTCAGGTGATCACATTTTCTCGATTATGTTTTGAAATTGTTAAGAGAAACTTTATGTTCGTCACTTTGGGGAAAATTAAAGGTAACTAAAACAACCTTGCTGCGGTTATTTTATTTATTCGCGGTCCTTGACGGTCACATTGACAAGCTTCCATCATAATACGCGAAATCTTTCTAACTAATTCATGCATGCAACAGCTAGCTAAAAGAAGTTTAATTTGCTGCGCGGGCAAAAACATTCGACGAAGACGAATTTATACCAATTGGGGACGTTTTATAATAATTGTCCTGTAAAACAAATGGAATCTTCGCAAGAAAATTTAAATAGGAAGACTGGAAGACAACAATCTTATTTCTCGTTTTTCCACTCACCCGGAGCCTCCTTCATCCTTTTGGTGCGCTTTTTGAGCTAAGTACATTTTGTCCCGTCTAAGAGCTGGAGTCACGGAACAGACGAGTCCTTCACGATTGAGTCAAATAAGCACTCAGACTAGCCTTAAATTGTTCTTAAACGTCCGCTGTCATTGCTATAGACAGCCAACAAAAACGATTTGTTCTGTCCAGCCAGATATTTTTGGGTCGCACTACGTCCATTACGTCCAACAAATAAAACTCCTCTTCGCCTCCTGTGTCAACTGATACACACAAAACTAAATACTACTACTCCTTGCAGAAATCACAACCACCACTGAAAATGAAAAGGAGGCTAGATATCGAATTTAATGTACTCTACAAAGCCTATGATGCTTTGTATTTGCTTATTTACATTCCTATTAAACTAACAATTTTTTTTCCTTTTTAAAATTAACCTTTACTATTTCGTGCTAATAAGCAAAAAAATCATCCATAAGCTTTAAGTCTAACAATATTAATTTCAACCGTCCCAGATAGAATCAGATATTTACTCATATCCTATACTACATCTAATCATTGCTGTGCTCTTTAGCCTATTATTAATTTTCCTTTTTACTTTCCTACTACAAACAATAAAATTTTCTGGGACAATTGTTTTCTTTTTTTTTTTTTTTTTTACTCCCACTTTTTTTGTTGCTCTGGTAATAGTCGGAAGTAGGAACAATTACCTGAAAAAGCCTTTGCTCTTTGAGATTTACCGGACAATAACTATTATTAGTAAAATCCAACAAGTGGTCTATTATCAATGCTGCGTTTTGATTGGTCGAGCTACTACTAGGCTATATGTTATAGCCCACTCGTGGCCAAAAGCGCCGGCTTTGAAAACCAAAACAATGGCTGAATCGCGTTTCGCTAGCTAAAGTTGTTTTCTCTCTTTCTCTCGCCAGTGAAAACCACCCGCGGAATTGACATATTGATGTTGTTGATGCATAGGAATGATGCGATCCTCAAAATCGAACTCGTCCCGACTCTCCTCAAGAGGATCAATTTGCATTTGGCTAGATAACTTAAAAGCAGCAAGAAGCTGGCTATCAGCAATCGAATGCTTTTCGAGTGTCGACTTAATGCCATTCAACACAACTTGATGAATACCAATGTTAACGTTATTTGCATCTTCTCCAAGCAACAGAAGTGGACATGCTTTAATCTGGGACTCGTTCTTCTTCCTAACCTCTTCTTTATCCTGAAGTTCTTCTACAATCCGGAAGTAAGTGATTAAGGTATCTAAATCAAAGACGTGTCGTTTGAAAAAGGACAGGAAGGTTAAGACATGCTTTATGACTTCGTTTGTACTCATCAGTGTTTCAACTGCTCGACGTACTACTACATCCGTGGATTTGAGGATACTCGACTCGGGCGTAGAAATATCACCAGAACCGGATTCCATTTCCTTGTCTGTTCTCAGTGCATTAAGGATCTCTGTCCAGGCAAGATTAGGCTCCTTATTGCTCTGACAATCTTGTTTGACGCAGGTCGCTGCATTCGCCAAAGCAAGGGGCTGATAATTCAGTTCCTTTGCCACTTTTTCCAGCATTTCTTTGTCACCAGTACCGGAGACCGCGGTCATTAAAGATACAGCATCACTGGGCTCCATTCCTTTGTTCATTGAGATGTGAGACGTGAAAGTATCGTCGGGCAGTTCAGAGACGGTGTCACGGGTTGTGATTAGCATTTGTCCTGTTTTCCACAACGCATTTCCAGCCTCTGGCAATGACATAAGAATGTTACAGAGACCGGTCACATTATCGATGATCAAGAGCCATGTCGTGTAAAGTTGGATTCTTTTCTCGATCAGATACTTTAGCATGGTTATTTTCTCATGGCATTTTCTATTCTCCAAAGCAAGGATCTTGTTAACTTCAATTTCTGAGCACTTGACGTGTTGGGCAAATGAGGTGAACGATTCCAAAAGGCTCTCAGAACTTTCAGCATTCAGCGACATAACAAACGCACGGGCGTCGTTGATTTTTGTAGCTTCGTAGTAAAAACTCTCAGCTACTTGTCTTGCAAGCTGCGACTTGCCACTTCCAGGCCTTCCTGATATGATTAGACAAGTTAGGCCGCCTTCATTGTTCTTCTTTAGCTCCTTAAGTTCTTGAACAATTTTGTCTTTATCACTTTCTCGACCTATAATGTCCAGTGGAGGTTTTAATGGAAGCCGGCAAAATGAGGAAATATCTCTTTGGTCCTCGAATTCAGGATCTTCCACCTGTTTTTCCAGCTGCTGTTTTTCATTGTAACTTCCCTCTTTCGGCTCAAATTGAAACGTTTGTTTCTCAAGGTCTTGGATTGGTTGCGTCGAAAGATCAAGACATACAAAAGCGAGCTGAACTTTCTGAAATATGTCTTGAAGCTTCGCCACTGACAGGTTAGCAAGTGAGCTGTGCACTGTCTCATTGTGAATCTCTCTCAGAACTTCCATTTGTGACTTAACAGCTGGACTTAACGAGAGGCTAATACTGTTAGAAAACAAAATGGCATAACAGAGCATGGTAATGTCCCATTCTTCCGTGTTGCCGTTCCTCATTGCAGCCAGTAGATGGGCATGTTTCACTTGGTTCCTTGGAGTTTCCTTTAAGTAGAAGTCTCTTCCATTTCTAGGTTTATCCATCCATTCTCCAAGCGTTTCCTTAAAGCGAATATCCCACTCCCTTTTAAAGATCATTCTCAGTCCCTTGGTCACAACATCAGATAAGAGGTAACACAGCTTGACGTAGTTGAGTTGTTCCGTTGAACATTCTGTGGATAAAAACGAAGAACAATAGGACATTAGCATTTATTGGATTCGGCTTTCGTATGATATGAAGAATTATTCAAATCGACGAAGCCTAGGTGGATAGCACCCTCTTCGCATTGCATAATTCTTCATATAATATGAAAGCAGAATCAAAATATTATGGCCAACGCTAGCTGGTTTTTAAGAATATGTCGTTGGATTTAAGTCAATTACAAAAATAAAAATAGTTATGAGCATTATGCAAAAGAATGTACCCAGTCAGAGATTCGGCACGTATAATACACAGTCCTAAATCACTCTGTTCCTTAGCTATAGCCTTTTGGAAGAACTGGTGAACCAAGAAAATTGAAGAAACTCACATTATCAAACAGTACGATTGTATATGGAGGTTTCGACAATAATATAATAAAGGACTAATAACCAATCGCTACTTTTGGACAGTTTTCTTACACTTCTAACTGAAACACTAAACATTCAGAGAAATTTCTTTGGGAAATAGGACTCTTACTTCCTTGATTTTTTGTTACGTGCTGATTTGTAATGAGTTTTTCCCCTTTTTACAAGCTATTTTTGTTTGTTTTGTTTATTTTCTTTTTGTATTTGTAATTTATGTTTATTTGTGCAAGTATAATCCGTTACGAACGAAACGATAAAGAATAGTATTACCAATCTTGTTACCGACCTTGACAAAATAAAACTGCGACTTTATTTGTAAATTATGGTAAAGAATATAAATCAAAAAATGCTGTATACGGTTTTACATTGTACTGATTATATCAAAAAAGAAAAAGAAACCTCCTAATAAACCATTTCATTCCTAACAGTGGGCCAATATGAAAATTTGAGAAAAATTCGAAATTTGATTTTGTAAAATTATAAAAACCTAAAGTACCGTATGAGAGTACTGCTTCAGTTAATTAACATGGCCACACCAAACGATTTTATCCACAGATAGAACAACACATTCTCCCTCCATATTGACTGCCGGAGTGAAAGGGCTCTGTGAAAGCTCAAACAACTTAACTTTTACCTGCAAGAAACTGAAAATTCACCATTTCTTCTACCCTGGCACTTGCAAAATAAACCTCTTCTCTGATCAGCGGACGAGTAGAGAGACCGAGTGACTGAAAAGCACTATTAACTCTGTTGCAGAGAGAAGAGAAGTCTGCATCTGAGACCTGGGCCTGGGCAATGTGAGCAAATTTGTTGCGAAGCTTTCTGAGTTCATCCACCGCTGAGCGGACTTCTGCACTAATTCCGCATCCAAGACTCTCTGAGTAAAGGATAGAGTAGAAGAGCATGACAGAATCCCATTCTTCAGTATTGCCGTTTATCATTGTAGTTAGCAGATGGGCATGCTTTCTTTGGTTCTTTGGATTTTCCTTCGTGAAGAAGTCTCTTCCATTTGTAGGTTTATCTTTCCATTTTCCAAGCGTTTTCTTCATGCGAATATCCCACTCCCTTTTAAAGATCATTCTCAGTCCCTTAGTCACAACATCAAATACAATGAAACACATCCTGAAGTAGTTGAGTTGCTCTTGTGAATATTCTGAGGTGAAATAACGATGGGCATTAGGATATTGATAATAATTAGCACGTTCATTAAGCATCAGTGGGCTGTCCAAAAGTAAAATGTACAGGAATATCAATTTATAGAATTTATAGCCGGGAGGGCACTTCCTAGAAGTCGGCTAATGGTGATGCGCCGCTGGTGTCATTTTCACGATTGGATTGACTATAATAGGGTTGCATATTCATAATTAATAGAATGGGGCCACGAGGGGGGGCGGGTAAGAAAAAAGTGACCAAGAAATGTCTTAAGTCGGGATAATATTTGTGAGGTACATTACGGGTTCTTTGTATTTACTAAAACTTACAATACCTTCACTTCTAAGAAACTGCCAAAATAAACAAGTTTACAACCAGAAAGCACAAGTAAGAAGATAAATTAACCATAAATCCCATGAGACAAGTATAATGACATATCATATTTCTTAAGGTTGGTTTTCTCTAGCGCATAAGCATAAGCATATATAAGGACAAACGCACGCGCGCAATGGCATATTTGACTCAATTCTCCATACCAACTACGAAGCGTCCGCCATATTGCTTTCGATATGTTCGCAAAGAGGTCTGGGTCAAAGTGGCCTATGATTGGTCCACGGCCTTGTGCTTATGCTTGTGCTTATGTCGACCCCGTTTTCATTAGTCAAAACTACGACATAAGCATAAGCATAAGCACAAGAAGAACGAACATGCCCGTTTTTCTTGTACGTTTGCTTACGTCGCCGCAGTTTTCACTTGCTTACACATATGCTTGTGCTTATGCTTATGCGCTAACACCGTTGCTTTATGGTAGACCATCAGAAAATAGAAACCTACATAGCACACAACTATTTCTGCTCTCTAAAAATCACGGACTTCATTGAACATCGTATTTTAACTGCAGTAAGTGAAAAAAGGTGAACGGCTTTACTTAACAGCGGTCATTAAAAAATAAGTCTCGCCGCACACTTATTACACCATTTGTGCGTCAGCTTTTACCTTGGTTTTAGTAAAGCATTTGAGCATTTTGACTTCAAACTTGTAGACGAAAAACTAGACAGCTATGAGGCCTTATTGTAGTTACAGTTTCCATAGAAAATGAAACACTATGCAGGCTTTCCGTAAATCCATAAAGTCCATATTGTCCGTAATGCAGAGTAAGAGAAAAATTTTCTTATCCACTTTTCCCTCGGTCAAGCACTATATTAAATTTGGTTGTCCAAAACCCAAGAGTTCATGTCCAAAAAGTTTTGCCAGGTTCCTAAGCCAAATGGAGCTCATGAAAACAAATGAATTGAAATGGCCCCAGTATGGCAAAGTTAAAAGTGATTTTTACTATTATTTTGTCAAGTATGAGGTTTGCTATTATTACTATAAGATAAATTTTAATTCTACCGTAATTTGAAGTCAATTTTCAGATGTTTCTGTATTTTTTCTTAATTACAAATGTGCTTGTCTCACGGACAGGTCATGTCGAGGGATTACATGACCAAACTAAATTTCTACCTCTCCCGGACAATCGAATATAGGTTTTGGCACACCATGTAATGTCACAAAAGCGATAATTCTGAGGGCCGGATACAAAATGCTGTTTGATTAATTTCGCAAACAATGTAAGTAGAGTTTATTACGCTCTGGTCGTTGCATGTCATTTAATCAATTTATTTTTTTCTAGTCAAAAGAAATTTGCAAAAAGAGGGTATTTGCGGTCATCGGCTTGCTACATGGCATTAAAGTGAAGTATAACCTGTTGCGTCCAAAAAAATTTTTCTTTACGTAAGAAGGCACGGTTTTTTTTCCTCTTCGACGCTAGTCATCTGTAGTGTATACGATGCTAATGCAAGCGCGTAGAAGCGAGAGAATGAATGTGATGTGATACACACGGGGATTACGTAATTTGCATGTACTATAGATAGCGTGTGTTGTAATTTATTCGGGTCGGTTAGCGTTCTGAGTTCGGAGTGTAACGGTCGTGAATAAAGTGTGTTTTAACCTAACCGCGGTACTACATTGGCGACGAGGATATTTCGAGGATATTTCGAGGATATTTCGAGGATTTCGCCGAGGGTTTCAAGAGTTTCGTTGAAAATCTCGCTGTGGATTTCGTCGAGGATTTCGTCAAGGATTTATTTCAGCGATGCCGGGAGGCGGTGGATCGGGCGAAACTAACGCGACAAGCGGTACTACGAGCGGTGCTGTTGGCGGTTCTGGGATGACTTCTGTTACTTTAGATGTCAGTGGATTGGAACCATTTAATCCAAAAGGAGAGGCGCACAATTTAAGTCAGCGATGGAAGAAGTGGAAGCGAGCGTTCAGTTTGTATGTGACCGGGAAAGGTGTATCGAACGACGCTCAAAAACGTGCTTTGCTGTTGCATGTCGCTGGTATGGATGTGCAAGAAATTTATTTCACACTAGCTGGTGAGGGTGGAGATGCAAGTTTTGAAGCAACGTTAAAGGTGTTGGACGACCATTTCGTGCCAAAGGCGAACATTCCCTTTGAGAGACATTTGTTTCGACAAATTTCGCAAGGGATCGGAGAGACAGTTGATCAGTTCGTTTGTAGATTGCGTCAGCGAGCAGCGACTTGTGATTTTGGCGCCGGCGAGGATGACTACATTCGCGATCAGCTCATAGACAAGTGTTATTCGAGCCATTTACGCCGGAAATTTCTGGAAAAGGAAGGAACTGTTACGTTAGATGAATTGTTGCGTGTTGCAAGATCCCAAGAAGCGGTTGATCGACAACTGAAGCAATACAGTACCGACCAAGCAGATAACCAGGTCAATGCAGTGGGTGGCAGGCTGTATGGAAACAAAAATCCCAGGAAAGCAAAGACGTGCTTTAGCTGCGGACAAGAAGGACACTTCAGTCAAGACAAAAAGTGCCCGGCGCGTGGTCAAACTTGCAGGAAGTGCGGCGAAACAGGCCATTTCAAAGTTAAATGCCCTCGACTCCATCAGCTAAGCAGGACCCATTCGGGATCTAGAGGACCTGAGAGTAGCAGAGGCGGACGCGGCAGAGGAGGCAGGAGTGCTGGTGGACTGGGTCGAGGTGGACGCGGACGCGGAGGGCGAGAGACGAACCTCGTGACTGGAAGACCTAGCCCTGGAGAGGAAGACAAAGGAGATTTCGCTGCATCAGGTCATTCGCAAAGACCCGATTATGCCTTTTCAGTGGAACAGGTGAATGATCGCAAGGAACAAAGGGGCGCTTTGGTAACGCTGGTCATTGGTGGTGTAGACGTACCCGATGTTCTCATTGATTCGGGAGCTTCATGTAATGTTATGGGCCAGCAGACCTGGGAGTTGTTAAAGCAAAAGGGGATTAACTGTGAATCTCGCAAATCTGCAAAGGAACTTTTTGCTTATGGTGGTACAGAACCTTTACCGACCCTAGGAACGTTCACGGCAGATGTCACGCTGGCTGGGTTTGAAAACGGAAGTAATGCTGATTTTGTGGTGGTTGAAGGCGATGGTCGCACGCTGTTGGGCCGAGAGACTGCCGAGGCGCTAAACCTGTTGCGTATTGGTCCTTTTCAGACAAACAGTGTTGACGGTGGGCGATCGGACGGGGATGTCAGAGAGAAATACAAGCACTTGTTTAGTGGTGTTGGTCTTTTGAAGGGCTACGAGCTTAAGCTACACATTGATGAGTCGGTGAAGCCTGTAGCGCAGCATGTACGTAGGATACCGTTCGGGTTACGCGAGAAGGTGGATGCAAAGCTGGATGAACTTTTGGAGCTTGACATTATAGAGGAAGTGCCGGAGGGGCCGTCAGGATGGATTTCGCCGTTGGTGGTGGTTCCCAAAAGCGATGGCGACGTAAGAGTCTGTGTTGATATGCGTCGTGCAAATGAAGCAATCGTCCGAGAGCGTCACCCAATTCCAACCGTTGAGGAGCTGTTACACGACTTGAATGGCAGTACGGTGTTCAGCAAGATAGATCTCAAGTGGGGTTTTCACCAGATTTTACTCAGTGAGGAAAGTCGCCACATCACTACCTTTGCCACGCATCGAGGGCTTTATCGTTACAAGCGGTTGATGTTTGGCGTAACGTCGGCGCCGGAGAAATATCAGCAGATCATTAGAGATGTGTTAAGGGGTTGTGCTGGGGTTGCGAACATTGCGGACGATCTCATTGTTCATGGGTGTGACGTGGAGGAACATGACAAGCGTCTTTTTGCGGTGTTAGATAGGCTGAGTGAAGTGGGGTTGACGGTGAACGGAGACAAGTGCGAGTTTAGATTGTCAAGGCTTACGTTCTTTGGTCACGAGCTGACTAGTGACGGCATAAACCCATCCGAAGAGAAGATTGCTGCTATAAGAGATGCTAGATCTCCCAAAGACGCAAGTGAAGTGCGATCGTTTATGGGTCTTGTCCAATATTCCGCTAAGTTCATGCCTGACGTGGCGTCCGTGGCCAAGCCTATTCAAGAGTTAACCAGGAAGGGCATCGTGTTTCACTGGGGTAAAGAGCAACAAACAGCCTTTGAGGAACTGAAGCGTCTAATCACCCAGGCAGAGACACTGGCTTATTTTAAGGTTGGCTGCAGAACGCGAATCATTGCCGATGCATCTCCAGTTGGATTAGGAGCGGTTCTCACCCAGCAGCAGGGGGGAATGTGGAGAGTTGTCTCCTACGCGTCGAGGAGCCTAACTGACGTGGAACGACGCTACAGCCAAACAGAGAAAGAGGCACTTGCCTTGGTTTGGGCGTGTGAACGGTTCAACATGTACGTTTCCGGACAGAGCTTCGAGTTGGAAACAGATCACAAGCCTTTAGAGCGTGTCTACTCGCGCACTTCAAAGCCTTGCGCCCGAATAGAGAGATGGGTCTTAAGACTACAAGGGTACGATTTTAAAGTGGTGTACCGCCCAGGGAAGACAAATATAGCCGACGCGTTGTCCCGTTTGAACTCCTTGGATCAA